AGAAGAGCTTACCCGGTTGGCTAAGGTACTGTTGGTACCCCAGGATGGGAAATTAACTGAGTTAAAGTTTCTGATACCGAGCTGAAAACCTAAAAAGAAAAGGACGACATTGGGATTCGAACCCCGAAACTCCAGGTTTCACAACAGCCAGCCTAACCACTCGGCCATACGAAACGACAGTGATATGTTTTAAGAAAACTTATTTATAGGGTGGCCTGCATGCGTAGCGCTATTAAGACCTGGGTGGGGTGTAAGTCCACCCCTGAATTGAAATTAGTACTTGTTCCGGTACGGCTATCCTCGTTCGTATGAAATGCCAGAGTGATTTCAATTTCTGGAAATGTTTTGGTGGGATCCAAAATTAATTCAAATTTGAGCGACCTTTGTGTTTAGCATGATCAATATTCTTGAGTTATGACTCAACCGGCCAAATCTTTCAGAGATGGTAATTTGTGGTTACTTTTCGATTTTTTCGACGCCCTCCCCACTCCCCAAGACACATAGTCTTCGCTCCCAGCAGTAAGGACTACTACGCCGCAGACGCCTTCCCGGGCATTGTTGACGCTATGTATCGGATCGACGAGGCACCAGACCAAGATGCACGCTGGGATATCGTGCGTCAGCAGATGGCGGTCACAACTCACGCCATCCAATCAGCAGTCAGCACGCTGCAGGATGTGCTTGCTTTCGATGGTTAACGAGTCATGGTTGCTAAACACACAGAGTTTAATTATGACGCCTAAAAAGTTAGTTTGTGTACACAAAACCATCGTGGAAACGTTGGTATGACATTGTCAGGATTTTGAAAAAAAAACGAATTAGAGTGAGTTTATAACTGATCTCGAGAGATTCGGACCGACAGATGTCGTCAATATAAAAAGGCTGTTGATTTTTGTTTGCTTTTCGTTATGCATGAATAATTGTTGGCGAACAATAATACTGCATTGTCCTTTTCATAAGTTTGAACATTTCCTTTCGGGAATTGTCTACTGAAAAGCCTTTAATGTCCCACTCCCAAACCAAAAAATATCCACAATTTTCTCCAGGACTGATGTGAGAATATTTTCAACACAACTTTTAGCGATTTTACATTGAAAGCACAAATTTACGATATCAATGAAAAGCAAACCCTGTATACAATCCATTTCCTCGATACCACAAAATCCAAGATAGAATAACTTCATCACTTCGTAAAATTACTCTTTTAACACCTTTACCCTTTAACCTATTGTCTTTAGCTCATCAGTTCTGATTTTTACAATAAAAAAACACTGAGACACGAAAATCACAGACCACCAAGCAAATGAAGATACAACGTCGCACTTCACCAGTTGGTCAAAATGTGCACTTTTAATACCCAACAGTACTCCCACACACCTCGCGCGCGTGTTGGTAAAACACTCAGCGATGAACTCTCAAAGCACAAATAATACGTACAGAGATGGCAGTGCACTATCTGCCGAGATATATACAGTCTATACATACACACCTAGTCAACTGCAATGTAGGAATAATTTTAGAACAATCTCACCGGCTTGCCATCTCAAAATTCTACGTTGGAGGTACCAAATTTCAACCTATACATAAAACTTTTATCAGATCAGTAATTTCATAGTTTTAAACTTTTTGTTTGGTTGGCGGGGAAAACTAAATAGCTTACTATTGCTCGAGAGAATTTTTGTACCGTTTTTGTTAAGAGCAAAGAAAAAATTGGAAGAAGAGCAGACTAGAAAATGTATTTCTCGACCTGAGAAAATGCCACAAAGAATTTGAAACTAGAGTAACAAAGAGGTATTACAATCTTGAAGTAGAATATTAACAAGAATAATATAAAAAATCATCAGTTTTTGACAGAGTAACTTCAAAGCTCAAATTTTGAGAATTCTGCTTCCTGTCCCACTTCCTAATTTTAACGATTCTGGGCTTTCGAAATAAATCAACATCTTTTGAAAAATGAAGTCCAAGTAACGTCTACCACAATAAATTATTCACTAAAGAAATCACACCTTGGTAACTGGCCGCCAAATCCACTCAGTTACACTAGCTCCCCCCCCCCCTCAATGACGTTTTTAGGATTCACAACGTCTGGAGAAACAACACATGGCACTGCTTGCATTTTAAACGACACAGGGAAGCACAGAAAATTATACACTCACAGGACAGACAAGAATTGATTGATGAGCATTCAGAAAAAAAATCATTCACTTTTACAAAAGTTTTGTAGACGTGACGAAGAAGAAAACATTCTTAAAAGACAAGCACCTGTGGTCTCTTCAAAGAAGTGCGACCGCGATATCAAAAGTTACTGAGGTATCAAGTCCAACTTTCATCTTAGGTCCAACAAAGGATACTTTCCTGGGTACCAAATGATAATTAGTACTTTTAATATCCAGTGCATTAAAAATCTCGTTACACGTACTGTGAATAAATCAGAAAACAACAGTTGCTCGATACGGGCGATTCACAATAGTGCGCCTCCAAGAATTTTCAACGCGTTGGCCAATCACAATGTGTGATATCTGTCGACCCAATGTGCGTTTGGAACACGGATGTGTATAATAAAATCTGGACTCGCAATGCCCTTAATCAGCTTATAGAGATCATTGACTACACTCGCGGCCATTTTACCGAGCCGAATACAAAGCTTTCCTGGCAACTTGAATGCCCGCCTTTGTTCTACCTGACGTCAATAGAGGGAAGCTAACCCACGCATTTGTATTCGGCTCGGAAAAAATGGCCGCTGGTTGGCTTCTTCATATAAAGGCGTTGCAAGTCCAGGTTTTTTATATACTGGCGTCCGTGGTTTGGAAAGGGTTGGCAGATTTCGCGCGTTATGATTGGCCAACGCGTTGTAAACTCTTGGAGGCGCACTATTGTGAATCGCTCGAATTGTTGAGGGAATTTTGACTTGCGTAGTTCTTTAAGAACTGCACACGGTAGTATTAAGCAGAGAGGTCGCTGGCTAGTGATATCTTTGCCACAAGCCCTTAACCAGGCATGCAACTTGGACTTTGACCAAAAACGAGGAAATTCCTATCTTTACAAGACTTTATACATAGTTTAATTTTCAATGGCATGAGTGTGAAGTGAAAAACGAAGAAATCAGCCGATTCGAGGAAAAATGAAATGAAAAACAAAGCACTCTTCCGCACGTAGTATTTAGAAACTGTTTTGTTTTGAAAAAAAATCCATCTCCCCTACCCAAGCAATAACACATTTCCTTATGTGTAAATTAATTTTGATTGAACACCTGCAGTCCATTAACGTATGACCTAGGCCTACATTTCCCTTCATCAAGCACGCAAGCAGTAAGCCTACCTTGCTGAAAATCTCACATCTTAAACATACACAATTATTGTGTACTGACCTTAAAAAAAACAACAGCTCGGAATAGCGATTTAAAACCGTGCATCCAGGCATGAAAAATTTATGTTTGTATTACTAGCTATAACCTTACACAAAATATGTCCAAATGTGATGCTATCAAGATGGTCCGTTTATATATTGACTGCTTCGAGTGGTACAGTACCCCCCCCCATCCATGGAGCATTCTATTATCCCGAAGCGAAGCTGAGGGAACCTGGAATGCTCCATGGATTACCGAGGGGCGCTAGGTTACATAACAGATAAAACAGTAAAATATTTGTCACCTCTCCCAGAGATTCTGCGTGACTTGAGCGATAATACTAATTGGTTTGATCTAAATACACGTACAAAGCACGTCAAGAAATTAATTCTGTTGAAAACCCACCACCATTTTCTTATTTAGTAATCACAAAATGTTCCAATCCAGCTCTGTAGAGGTAGTACTTCTGAATGCGCGATACGCGCACAGAAGCATTTCACATAACGCAGGCATGCGGTTGCCAACGGTAAGAGCTTTGGTTGCTATAATACGGTGTAGTTTTTGTAGCCGTGAAAAGCAAGATAGCAGATAGTGAATGCCATGTGAATAGCTCTCGGCCAATCAATGTACAGAATCTGAGGGTGAAGCATCGGTTGACCATTATGCTTTTTTCTCATTCGCAAACATTTCCGGTAAGCTATGGACTTCACACGGGCACCAAGGGCAGTGTGATAGTTTAAAGATGTCTAGTTATAACCGAGTACGTGTCACTTCCAAGACGACCATGTTTAATTCTTTTATGTGAAATCATTCTGAGCATACACTCCATATACTCCATATAATATTACTTTAGGCCCTTTTTTCAAGCCTCGGCTTCGTCTCCACTACGCCTCCATCTCTGACTGAAGACATACATTAAGAGAGTTTACCGTTCTACCCAAACGGAAAAGTCTGAACACCGGACTCGACTCATAACTTAAGGAGCTGTCGCCCTTGAGGAAGAATAGCGACCAGTATTAAGCAGAAACTCTAACGTCAGAGGACTGGAGACGAATCCGAGATATTGAAAATTCCATAGTTAAATGAAACTTATCACAGTGGATTTCTCAAACTATGTTGTCTTTAGCCTAACACAAAGAGAATTTCCATAAACGCATTGTTAGTGTAATATGTGTATTCAGCACAAAAGTACATTATGCAAAGAAATTTAATGTAGCTTAAAATAGTATTCAATGTCTTGCAAAAAAATGTGAACTACATTTACGCAGGGATTATTATTTAAATGATTAAATTTAAACTCTGAATAAAATCTCAAGAAATCAAAAATGCAATTTTCGCACACCATGTCATCTTACAGTACTTAAAAACAAGAAACGCAGTTTCTCATATTTGCATAAACAAATCCGGAGAGGAATACAAGTTCAAACTAGTCCAGCTACATACATAATAACCTACACGTACCCCACTCTTATGAAAGACGCTTCGTCAAACGTAAAAACGTGCAGTTTGGAGACTTATGTACTTAGGCCTAAATGTAAGCAGCTAATTCAGTCAGTGGTGCACAGCAACCTCACGCAGAGAGTGGTCAGTGCAAAGGCAGGCTCCAAAATTTCAGAAAAGTTTAAAACAGATGGCAACCACAGACAGTGGAGTCTGACATTTTGACAGATATAATTATGTAAGTGTGATTTATCGGTGGGGTCGTAGTAGATCTCCAACATTCTTGGTGCACCAAGAGAGCATTTTTGCAGTGTTGCAGTGATGTCGATCACACAGTTCAGTCACAAGTAACAAGAGATGAACTGAGATGAGACAATAGGCCCAATGGTTTGTTACTTAAATTAAGACGGGATGGCTAGTTGCTTAGTGATGGACTTGCGATAACTTGCGAAAACTTGTGACTGGCATGTCACAACTTTGCCATAGACTTGTGATTTACATATACAATGGGCTTATGCAATGATAACCTGAATTGGCTGACGATAGATTCCTAATTTGATTTGAGACGACTTGTACACACACTGATCGTAAACCTACAATGCGACATCTGTGTGTCTCCTAGCTTCAGCGTAGTGGCCTGAACGGGTACGTCACTATAACCATTCAACCAGAGGTAAGGGAAGAGCGAATTTGACAGTTTTAAGGTGGAGGGTAAGGAGGGGTGTAGTGGCAGCTTCCAGAGGGTGTGGCATTATGAAGGAGGTGGATTAGTGGCACATGATATGTGTGGCAGTGGTATATCGAGTGCATGTTCCCGGTAAGGATGAGAAACTAAAAAGGGTGTGGCATTCCTAGAGGGGTATGGCACTGACACACTGGGTGTGGCCTGTATCCACTGGGAGGTTAATAGCGCATAGTGGGTGTGGCTAATAGAATAGCCTGAAGAATGGCGTTAGAAAAAATGATTTATCTCGGCGAGGGTGTGGCATTTGTAGGGGTGTTGAGTTGATATGAAGTGGCAACAGTAGCAGGGTGTGGCCACGGCAAGGTTTACATATGACTTGCTTGAGGACACGGCATCAGGGTATGGCAATGGCACACTAGAGCTGTTGCCATTGGAAGAGTGCGGTGATGAAGAGCACCGCACGGTACACGAGGCATGTGGCAATAAGACACGTGGCAACCATGCAATGTAGATGTGACATCACTCACATTGAGTGGGATGCAACACCACGTAGAATGTTGGATAAACAAAGTATGAAAGTGCGCAACATTTTGACAGGTCCCAACGAAAGCAGAATGAAGCCGTTGTCCTGGCTGTTATCGGTACCAAGAGCAGTGCACAAAATCAAACCCACTTGAATCTCCAAAATTACATAGCCATTAAAAACGAACATAAAATGAAAATCATACAATATCTAACATATTAAGCATTCCACGAAAAAATCCAACTAGTATTTCATACACTGGTGTTCACTCCAAACAATAAATTAAATTTGTGATGCTATTTTCGAACAATAATACAATCACCTGTATATACACAGAGAAGAATATCTTTCATAATATAATGTTATAATTTTTAGGACCAATTGGGAAAAAACCACAGATGAGAATTTGTACATTCTAGCTTGAATATTGCAGATAGTTTTCGCTTTTTCTGGTTGCCCTAATGGTAAACTCTACACCACACAACCTAAATATAAAGATTTTGTCATTTAATTTAAATTTCACAATATCTGTTAATTTTTTTTTACTGACGAGACGAAGTTTTATGAATACCATAAACAACTACCTCAATTCCCTTTCCAATATATCTATCTAAAAGCGGTGCTGTACCCAAAGTTCTAAATAAAAATAGTACGAAACTAGGTCTTCTTGTAAAGGTTTTTGTACCAAAATGTTACAAAATAACGTTGATAACAAATAAAGTTCTACCAAGCTGAACCGTTGAGAGCCTTTGTATGTAAAATCCATCTATCGGCATTATGTATACTCGTCCAGGATGACTGTAATTGAACTCATGTTCCGCTGTATTTTTCATTTATGTCATGCATTGAGTATGCAATTTTTCTCCAATTAAAAATCATACAGGACTGGCAAAAATTATCTTGTACATAAAGAAAAAATAATAAAGGAAAGAGATCATGATCCTTAGCAGAACTTTCACAATACTCCTTCGGTAGTTCCCTTAGCAGACAAAAAAAAACCTCCAAAATTATTTACAATGCATAATTCTAAGTGTTATCATACCCCAAGACAACAAAATGCATTCCAATTTCAGTACACAGTGTAATTTCTTTTTAATTTTTCCCAAATCACCATTTACCTTCGGGTGAGGAAGAGGACACAATGCACCGTGTATACACAAATTCCTTGAAAAAGATCCTACGAATGTTTATCATAAACAAACATATGTACACTGCATCAAAAAAGATTCATTATGTATAACCTTTTAAAACGTCTGACCTGGTATGTTCTATTTACCTAGGACGCACAAAATACACACAGTACGTAACGTCAAGTTTACTTGGATTAAACAGCTAGACATGAGCGTTCTTGTCGTGTCTATTTACACAAATAAGGTGTTAATCTCTTTTTTTTTCTTTTGTTTTTGGTTTTTGTATTTTTGTTATTTTGAGTCAAGATTCAAGTCTCATTAACCGTACTGTTCGCTTAACTGTACATATTTACAAAAGCATGATTTTTTTGTCTGTCAGAATCCAGGATCAGTTATGACATTGAGGAGAATGTATCTCTGTCAACAAATGTTGCAATCTTTCCGTCTGTTTTTTTTAAGATTCCAGGTGAAAATTCTTTCACAAAACAGCCCAATCCATGGGTCTCACCACAGTAACAAAGTAAGCTGACGTACATCAATATGACATTTTTCATAAATTTTGTTTAAATCTGAAAAAGCAGTACTGGACATGGCATTTGGGCACACTGAATCAAAAATGTAATATCTATCTAGGTTTCCTGAAAAATTAGCACAGGATGCTATAAATAAAAATGTCAAGGTATTTGAGAATTACTTAAAATACAATGTCCGAAATAAGTTTGTTTTGAATTGAATTCTCTAAATGAGAACATTACTGTGGCTGATAATAGGCCAGAGTAATAGTTCTGGCAGTCTTTGACTGAATACGTATGGAATAGTACGGTTTTTGCATTCCTTGAAACTTTGGTTTCTGGACAAAGATTTGGCAAGAAATACATTACAGAAAGTAATGCAACGATGCAACTGATGTTTATTCCAATTACTCAAGTCACATTTGTAGCACACATCAGAGAGGAAAACTTCAAAAGGAAAACATTTCATCCGAGAGACATTTTTCCCTGAAGAAGCCTAAAAGTTAGCTTTTTAGACTTCCGTACTAAAACTGAAACTGTTTTTTTTATTTTCCTTGCTTTCCTTTTTTTTAATTGAAATTTTTCCTATGAAGGCAAGATTCTAACTTTGACATATCCCACAGGTAGATTATCTGTGCAAAACGAAAGTTACACTCTCCCAATTCTTCTATGTAATTCCTTACTTATAATCTTCAAAAATGTACCAAGCCAGCATACATGAAGCTCTGTGAACACATAAAGGCTAATTTCAATGACAAATTTCTTTTATAAGTTATTTTTAAATAGACATCTCAAGGTAAAATTTTTCCTACAAATGCCCTCTTTAACCCTCACAAAACTCCATCACTAAAACATCTGTGATGCCTCTAAGAAAGTTTCTACAAAAATTTCAAAACATTTTTTGAAGAAAAAACACCATGCTGGAAACAGATCAGAAACAGTCAGCATAATTATGTTGACAAACTCTGCATCCCTAAAATACTTGTAGAAAATATGAGAAATGAGCCACGTTCAGGGCAAAATTAAAAGATTGATTTGAAATACGTCATGTTCCCTTCTCATGTTGCACCTGTTTCACGGAGTGTGTGGCTGGGGGGGGGGAAGTGACAGACTAGACTGGGGCGTTTCATGGTAACGTCATTTCAGTGTCAAGGGTCAAAGGTCAGGTCTCATACGACAGCCTCAACTTTGCTGTTGGAGTTATTGGTCTCTTTCAACTTGGCCTTGTGCGCTTCAATCATCTGTAAAATGACAAAGAACAAAATAGTTTCAAAAAGAAATATTAATACATCAATGCTTTTAAGGAGTATCATGGGAAATCATGGACCTGAGCAGATCTGGAAGAATGAGTTCCCAGGAAATCCAATCGAAAGTGGGGCACATTAAAACAGAAAAAGAACAAGACAAAGCAAACTGATACGTGGTTGATCTATACTTTGCACTCTTACACGCCCGTCTATAGCAAGACCCCTCCGTTACACCAGATAAGAAACCCAACCTGTTTTGCTCCTCTAATTCTCCAAATCTTACCACCAATCATTTACCATTACGCACCTCCTCATTTGCCCTGATGAGTAAGTCCATCTGCTTGCTGTGCTCAGCTGTCAACTCATCAATCTCTTTGGACTGCCTCACTTGTAACTGAAAGAAAAAGGAGTTGAGAGAGACAGGTGGAGATTTGGGGTCTCAACTTTGACATTTGGAGGCTGTTATACACCCATTGAATGGTGACTCCTCTGAAATAATGAAGCAAGACATTTTGAATCACTCATGAGTTATGAGTCAGTGGTGCACTCTGTCAGTCCTGATCAAGAACTTGTTTGGCCATGTTTCAACTGTGGTCTTTTTTGTGCAATAATCACACACACGATTGGCGTAGAGCCAAGGGGCCAAAGAGGAACAACTGATCGAATTTTTAGTTACCATTAAACAAAAACAGTGGCCAAGTCTCAAGTTTAGGTGCTGGAGTAACAGAGGATAAACAGCAGTCGAAGTTCAGTCATTCAAGCTAGCCACATGACGTGTGATGACCAATGGTTACTTTACTATGAGTCTGTTGCAGAGAAGCATCTCCAAAGTTAGAAGGACGCTGACGGTGTTTTCACGACACTCTTTGCCAGCGAAAAATTGAAGGTAGAAATGGACATGCTCATAAAAAACGTTATTATGCCCAAAGTGAAAAATGACTCTTGCATTATTCCATGTACTCACTCTCTTCCTCTCTTCCATGAATTTCTTCAGACTGTTGCTTTGCAATTCTCGAATTCTCCTGCAAGGGATGAACAAACAGCTATTAACCACTTCCTGCTGGGAACTCCGGGATCGGAGACGTATGGTTTATATGGGTGGCCGGGGTCTCCGAACTCCGACAAAGGAAACAGGGCCCTGTAACAAAAGACCGTACTCCGAACAAAAGACCAGGCTGCTAGGCATTACCGACATTTTTCACTCTCAAAAGTGGTGATAATCCAGCCTTGTTTTGAAACCGTATACCAGGGTTTGGGGCATTGAGAGTGAGCGGATTACCATCGGGGACAAAAGCGCTCCACCACCGCAGCGATGAGCCACACAGCGCCGCTGCACGCTAATCTGGCCCCCATTGAAAAGAGGTCAGCAGTGCACTAAGCCAGGTT